ACTTTTATTGATGTTGCTCTGACTCTACTCATTTGAGTGCTGGCCAATTTGATGCATCTTTGTTGTTTGAGAGAGGGGAGAGGCGGCTGGAAGAGGACTTGGTGGTTTGCAGGGAAGTAGAGAGTGAAATGTGGGCAGCCATAGCCAGAGGCTGGAAGCTCATTGCCTCACCCCCGCGCTTTGGCTGAAGTCATGAGACTGCTTCGGGATCCGATCGTGCGGTAAGAGGCAAGGTGAGGGGAGGTGTTGTCCGCGGGGCAGGTTCTTTTTGACGTGTGGGGTGGTGTCGTCCGTATGATAGTACGACAACAATAATATGCTGAAGGGGGACCGTGTTGCACAATTTTCAGCGCGCCGTTGATGTTTTGAGAGGAGGTGTTGCCGAAATTGTGCGACGAAGTAGTTTTTTTGGATCGTTGAACGGAGGTGTTGTCAAAATTACACAGTACAATAATTTTGATCGAGCGACGGTGTTGTTAGACGGTTGTGGTAACGGTTTGACAGCGTGGCAGCAGTGAAACAGTTATTGCGGTGGTGGCGCTTGCAGTATTTGTGTCGGAAAGCCGCCCTTATTTTTTTTTGGAACATGCGATGCAAATTATTCTGCACTTGGAACCATTCGGTGCAGTGGGTGTCTATATGGAATTATCTGGAGACCAGTTGAGACTATTTTGAATATGGGGTATGAACTGTTCGTGTGACCATTATAAGTGGACGCCATGAGTGAAGGAGGTTAAACTTGCAGTTTGATTGAGGATTATCCTTGGTGAACGTGATGCAATTGAGATTGTGTTGGGACAACCCGTGACGTTGGGATCACGTGAAACTCGTGTGGGAGAGCACCCTCCTAGAGGGTTATCTCGCTTGAGTTTTGGTGGGCTAACCTTTGCTCACTCGAGCTTTTGAGAGAGGATGTGACCAACCTTTTGGTGGGAAGGCCGCAACTCGTGGAATTGTATGACCATTTTTTTTTATATTGTTTTGCTTTCTAAGGTGAGCCACTCATAACTTCACTCAAGGTCAGTTGCTTGACTCAGACTTCCTTTTAGACTTGTGTGAACCCACACTTGCTTGACCATGTTCATTGAATATTCATTGAAAAAGAAAAACAAATGTGTGTTCGCATGTGAATGAGAAGGTATGACTTGGGTATGTGGTTGCATTGGTTTCCTTTGCACCTGTGTAGAATCGTGTTCGGGTTCGGTGACTGAACCCGAATGTTTGGGACCGAATGAGAACGAGCGCCGAAACTCTCCGAACGCGAACATAAAAATATTAAAAAAAAAAAAGAAAACTTCTCAAAAATATCTGAAAAATATATATGTTATGTAAAATAATAATACAAACAACTTTTGCCTAAGGTATGGTCAAATTCGTAACCAAACTCGAGTTAAAAATCAAAAAAATAATATGTTCGGCCGAACACGTTCGGGTGACGTTCGGCCGAGCACCCGAACATGTTCAGAAGTTCGGAAAAGCTCCGAACATGTTTGGTGTGCTACACAAAATTGCACTTGTTTAGAAAAGAAAAAACAATGGTGAAGGTAAGGGAAAAAATATGTTTGAAAAAAAAAATGTCTATTGGAGAAAAGAAAAATGATTATCCTGTTTCTTCTTTTCATCTGTCTGCATGTTAAGAACACTTATAGCTTGACATGAATAATTTCAATGGGTACCGTAGAAAAAAATCGTAAATATAACAAAGATGAAGATACTAAGGAGTAATAGACTGTACGCAAAGCACGGTGGACAACAATCTGGTCAAAGCCAATACACAGCTGTAGATTCATCAAAAGCAACCGCTCATATAAAATAGCCACGTTAACCAGTGAGGGTCAACTGTGGTGGTCGAAAAGGTTAGCGATGACGCTGAAGATTGATGAAAGAAGCGGTCATGACCATCCACCGCCCCAACTTCTCACCATAAAGTTTCTCTTCCTCGGTCATGCCGACGCCGCTACGGCGAAAGAGGATTACCACACTAATCGCTACACTATTTAAGGAAAGTCAAAAAGTATCAGACTTTCAAAAAACCAAAATTGCGTAAACAAACTGTACGCCAGCCGCGCAGGATCGAAACCATGAGCCGTGGCATTTGGAAATGTTCAGAAAAGGCGGGCCCAACATTCTGTATCCTACCGTCAAACTGGTAAGATACAAGACCTGACCAAGGTACTGCGTATTCAAATATCAAAAGTACAACTCCCGAATATACTGCTCGGACAAAACAAAACAAAACAAAGACCAAAACCAACAAAAAAACGGACAAACCTAGTCTAAGTACACTACCGGAAATAAAAGGACAAACCTGATCCAAATTCAATACTCTATTCTAATTGATCTGTCAGAACACAGTCCCCCGAATACTTGATACAAAATGACAATCCTGGTCCCAATTTCACTTCAAGCCACAGACATAGTATGTTCAATGCTCGTCTGCAAACAAGGATGCCATCAATCTTTAAACGACACTCTTATCCCGACTAAAATTTCGCAAGGCATGCCCAAACCACTTCCCTGGATATTGATCTTAGCTTAATTCCGCTCTCAGCAGAAGAACCGATTCGAAAACTTCGAAGCTCATGCAGAAGTTATGATCAATACGATACAAAGCGTTGATGATAACAACCATCTTTTCTCTCTTACTTGACCACGAATGAAAGTTTTGAAACGTTCGAAATGACAACCCCACTTCTTCTTTCAACTGTTGTTCATTCTTAGGAATTTGCATAGTACCAAGGAAGGGAAATATTTGTCGAATCCTCAGTCTGCAACCCAATAATGTCCAACTCTCTCTTCCCTCATCGGTTTGTTTGAGGGTCAGTGCTTTGTCGTAGCACTTTTCAAACAATGTCAGTGTCTTCCGAGCTTTCGCCTGATCACCAGCAATGTTTGGGTCGTAGGCAGCAAACATAGACGAATCATCTACAAATCTCAGACCGCCGAATGCTCGTTTCTGGCTACCCAATGAGATGAGGAAATCCCATTCGCTCTTTGCACACATGAGGCATGCCAACGGGGGGCTCAAACTTTTCCCCATTGGTATGCCTATCACTTGCTGAAGCAAAATCCCACACGCTTTGGTAAAGCAAAACTCAAGTTCAAATGCTACAAAAGAAACAATGTACTTAAAGGAAACAAACACAAAACCATCAATATGCCGACACTTACTTAGTCTAGCTTTCTTACCTCTCTTTTGCACAAAGATCCTATAAAACCCTTTCTTCGAAAACCACCAAACCACCCACTCAATTGCTAACTTGATCGTTGCGTGAGGAAGACGACTAAACATATCCTTGATATCATAGGATGCTCCCAAAATTTCAACGTCTTTTCTGCATTTCCCTAATTTGTTATTCAATTGTCTCAATCTATTTTTTACACCAGACATTGACCTCAGGTTAAGGTGCCCGGATTCAGGTAGAGAAAACAGAAGTCCATTAATTCCTTTTGCCAATGTCTTGCATGCCCTAACGGTCGGTTCACTGAAGGTGGGACAGATTGGTCGATACTTCTCAGTATCTTCGTGTTTTGGCAGTGCATAAGCACTACCCACTTTGCCCTTACTGTCCCACTTTCCGTGAGTGGTTAACCCTCTCCTCTCGTACTCAGATTTTGCCAACGTGAGCGTTTGTCTTTCATCCGAAAGACACAAACGATAACCGTTGCTCAACAGGAACGTATCCTCCATACCCTTGTGGTACACTTGTGAGCACAAAACCAACGTGTCTCTGGGATTACGATCTAACGGCACCCGTACCAAACCCTCCAATTCATCTCTCAGTGACGACACCTCCTCCATCCCATTCTCGGGCCACTGTTCCTTACTTGGTACAAAACAATGCCTCATATCTTCATTGTTGCAGTTGAGCTCTTCCTTGGTAAGTTTCATCGTTCCTCCCCAGGAACAGAAAACCTCCGTCAATTCATCCCTCAAAATTCCATTCCTGTGATATTCCTCAACTCTTAGTGTGTTCTTTGCATTTTTTACGATCTCTGGGGCCTCCGCCAACTCGCTTAACCGGAAATGCACGTGCCCATCCTTCTTAGGGTAGTGCATACCAGCACAGACACAACTGGAAGCACAAATCGATGTGAGTCGTCGATGGTTGCGGAGGATGTCTCCAACCGTAGGATTCTTCCTCCAAACAACACGTGCCCAACGCTTTACCATTTCCTTCCAAGCACACTCGATACCTAGACTGTTAACCTTCCTTCTTACAACTCTCATCACCTCACTCTTCTTGATTCTGTCATCGTACCGAGTTTTTACAATAATCCTCGTTCTCACATTAATGCCAAATTTATTTCGAACAACTCTCGAGATCATACATCTTGCCTGCGATCTACTCCGTTTTGACGTAAATGTCTTAACTGCACTATAATATCTGATCAGTTTCGTCATTTCTTTCACGTACAGTTCTTTCTGCTTCTGTTTGTTCCTGAATATCCTCACCATATCCTCTTTGAGCTTCAGCAACGCTGGTGAGGCCTCAGCGACTTTACGCAGTATGACGGCCCGCTCAGTTTCCAATAGGTGCTTGCACCGTCTGAGTGGTCTGGTTCCACGCCGATATTTGTCTCGAGTCTCACCGAAGAACCTTCTAACAAGTTTCCATCCATCCAACCACACCCTCCCTCCATTGCTCCAAATCTTGATATCGCCCTTTCTTTTTGTTAGATTACGGAGCAATTCAGCGATTCGTACCGTACTCCTCTCGGTCCTATCAACCTGCAGTTCTAGTAGTTTTTCGCAGTCTCTCACATACCTTTCACTTCTCTTTGTCGCATCACCTACCCATTTTCGCCTTTCCTTCTTTCCCGGTCGTTGCTTCAAATTCTTAGTTGCTCGTCGGGATCTAACCAATCTAACATTCAACAACGGTGACCAGTGTCTAATTAGCGCAGTTTCAATAGTCTCAAATTCTTTCCTATCAGTGCTCGTGAATAGCGGAAGAGCGACGTATGTGTATGCCCCCACCTTACCTAGCCAATTATATACGGTCCTAACACATTTATTTCTTCTCCGTCCTTGTCGAAAGTGCTCCCGCCATCGTACCCACAGATTCCTTTCGGTCAGACCAATGTACACTTGCTTATGCCACGGAGAAATCAACGCATACACACAGTTCTTAGGTTCTACTAGATCAAAAGTCCCTCTATCCACCTCGTCATTCCAGTAGTTCACGAATTTATCCCCCCATTTTATCTGCCAAGTGAAAATCAAACCAATTACTACAGCTCTAAACCTCCTCTCGTCATCCTTATTCTTACCAAGATGAACCTGACGTAGGTTACTAAGTTCTTTTGCCCATGCCAAAAGGTCGTCGCGACGATAAGCTCCTCACTCCGAGTCATCCTCACTGAAAGATTGGTCGGACTCCGAAGTATCCGGTTTCCGTTCTTCTTTGATCGTTACTCCCTTACTTGATCTGGTAGTAACATGAGGTGTTGTTGGCAACGGAATGTTAGATGGATCGTATGCCACCGCCGACCTGCGAATCACCAGCCTTTTGATAGCAAGCTCACGATTCCCATATGCCACCTTCTCACGACGACAAGCTTCCTTCAACTCGTCAATGGTAAGCGTGTCGTAAAATTCTTGACAGTCCTGTTCGAACTTTTTTTTCCCACCTGGCCCGCATGTTGCCATGATATGCTTCAAAGATAAGTCAACCTTCGAAGGCGTGCTAGATGTCATAATATCCTTCATCAGATCACCTCTCATCGATTCGATATGCGTCTTTGCCTCTTCGAAAATTCCCTTGCTCGTTCTCTTTTCCGGAGTAGTCATCGGTGGACTATTCCTAATAGGTACATCCGGACCCTGTTTCCTCTTCTCCATCAATTCCAACTTCGCAGCCTGCCTACGAAGAGCCATCAGCTCTTCGTCTTCGGACTCTTCCTTCCCGATTGTTCGTTGTGCAATCCATTTCCGAAGCCGCTCTTTCTCATCATTCGCTGTCTCAACCCGACTTGCCATCTTCACTTGTCTCTTTCCTTTGAGTTCGTAGCATTCCTCGTCTTCTTCTTTGTCTTTCTTCATCTCTCTTCGAATTATTCTCATCAATCTAGCATCTCTCTCTTCTTCCATTCTAAGCCTTTGTTCTTCCCTTGCTGCTCTTCTTGCTTCTTTTTCGTGTTGTGCCTCCTCCCCTGCCCTCCGTCTCTCCGCCTCCTTTTCTCGTTCGATCCTCTCACGTTGTTCCTCCACCATGTGTACAAAATACTCCCGCATAAGAGCATCTGTATTCTCCCCACTTCTCTCACTTCCGCTGTCTGCAGAGCGGCTTCGGCGAAAGTTCACATTTTCAGTTCCAGTAGTAGTTGTTCTCCTTGTTCGTGTTTGAGTCGCCGGTGGTGCCAAAGGGACAAACGGTCTTCCTTGTGCCCTTGCTCTCCAAAATTTTGCACAGTCACGAATTAAATGTCCACCTTCTCCGCACTTATAACACCTCCGTCCGTATGGCGGGGGCGCCCCACCCCCTTCATTTCCATGTCTCGATTCTCCTTCGTCGCTCATCTTGAAATCCAATTCTGTAATCAACTTCTTCGAAAATCGTTCTTCGTAGTTACTTCTTATGATGCTGGGCCACCACCTCCATTGGGTACAATCGCCCAATTGGTTACGCCTCTTGATAGTAGGAGTAATAAACTGTACGCAAAGCATAGTGGACAACAATCTGGTCAAAGTCAATACACAGTTGTAGATTCATCAAAAGCAACCGCTCATATAAAACAGCCACGTTAACCAGTGAGGGTCAACTGTGGCGGTCAAAAAGGTTAGCGATGACGCTGAAGATTGATGAAAGAAGCGGTCATGACCATCCACCGCCCCAACTTCTCACCATAAAGTTTCTCTCCCTCGGTCATGCCGACGCCGCTACGGCGAAAGAGGAGTACCACACTAATCGCTACACTATTTAAGGAAAGTCAAAAGGAATCAGACTTCTGAAAAACCAAAAATGCGTAAACAAACTGTACGCCAGCCGCGCAGGATCGAAACCATCATGGGAAATCGTCCTGGGCCGTGGCATTTGGAAACGTTCAGAAAAGGCGGGCCCAACATTCTGTATCCTACCGCCTAGTTGGCAAGATACAGGACCTGAGCAAGGTACTGCGTATTCGAATATCCAAAGTACGACTCCCGAATACACTGCTCGGACAAAACAAAACAAAACAAAGACCAAAACCAACAAAAAATTGGACAAACCTGGTCTAAGTACACTACCGGAAACAAAAGGACAAACCTGGTCCAAATTCTTGAGGTTGACCCTTTCTATCCCAAATGATTTTATCTACTACCTATACCTGTCTAAATAATTATCGTTCTCCATCTCCTTTGACTCTTTTCGTCTAAGTTACCTTGAGCTTACGAAAAATGAGAACAATTGAAACTTACTTGTGTTGAATACGTTCTATTTCTCTAGGAAGCATCTGGAGTTCGTCCGACTATCGACCGAGAGTGGACCGTTCTATGAAGCGGTACTCTGCCGATTCGGTGGAGATGGCCTTACTTCTGAGATTCGAGCTTTGTGCTCGGCCGAGGAGGAGTACCCTAGACCGCTTCCTAGAGGGAGAGACGTGCAACACTTCAAGTAATGCACTTGATCAAGAATCATTCGCAAAGCGGCCTGCCATCCAAGAAGATTATAACTGTATGGAGACGGGTGTGTGTGTGCCTAATCTTTGGTCAGTAGTAGGTGGAATGAATGGCTTTGGCGGCTCATCTTATCAAGTTAAAACTAAGGTAGCCCGACTACCTTGTGAGTTGCGTCGAGGTTACTGTCGAACCTAACTTTTCGTTGGTGACTCAATATACAGTTTTTTTTGCTATCGAGTTCGACCCGAGGTGGTCGGGTCTTTATTTAAATTTTGCATCATTGGATGTACCATATGATGTTTCAAATTCTTTCTTTTATCATATCATATTTGATAGTTTCCTGTCAGCTACAATCGATTCGTTTTTATATAATTCAATGGGGTTATTATCATTTCTTTTTGCTAATGTTTAAAGCACTAGGATTTAATTGTGGGTTTCACGCTTGGTTGAGACCGCCCTAGTCGATCGGCGTCCGCTTCATACTTAGGAGATCAACGCCCTTGGGGACGAACGACGTTCGGGTCCACTTAGCGTTTAACCAAGCGTTTCCTATACTGCAGAGAAGCGAGAAAACGCTTTCGGTTGATCTACCTCTGCGACTGCATGTAAAAACTTTCACATGTCGGTCAGTAGCTCAGTCGTGATACACCCCTGAGGGTGGTCACAACCCCTTAAGGAAGATAAGTTGTGCCCCGCGGGAACCTATCCTATCGTAGGGGACTGCGACAAGTACGACTGGTGCATCTTACCAGAGCGACGAAGGCGACTACACAACCACACCCGTTTCGGCGTTTCACGGGATTATTCACGCGTTGTCCCTAAGTTGAATCTCACTTTGTTTTGTTTGACTCCTGCATGACATGGCCGGGAGGGCTGTCACCTTTTGCGAATAAGGCGGGAGCCGGTGCGCTCGACACCGGAACTCTCGCCTCCAGGTAAGTTGCTCACCTCTCTGACTGTGCTCTAACCGAAGTGTCAGCATCACCAACGTGAAGCAGGCGGTAGGTTCACATTGCTTGACACTTTCCTTCCTCCACTTCCATCCAATTCAACCTCGCCGACATCGCCTCTTTCCTCCTCGTCGCCACATTTTCTTTCCTCCTACCTTTGCCTGTGCTCAACTTCCTCCGTATTCGGCCCAAGATCTTGGTCAGATACATACAAGATTCATAACTACGCCATTGAGCTAAGGGCTGCATACAAGATTCATAACTACGCCATTGAGCTGAGGGCTGCATACAAGATTCATAACTACGCCATTGAGCTAAGGGCCACGATGCAGGCAAGTGCTACAGGACCTAGCACTTTAGAGAGGAGCTTCAGTGGAACCGCGCCACAATGCAGATTGCTGAGAGTATGGAGATGACGAGCTCGACGACACACAACATTAGCGAGCAGCATGGATAACAACATCCGCAGGTAAATAGTACCGATCACGAAGATCATGATGGCCGACGATGAGCCCCTAAACAGGTTGGACTGAGCTGGCAACTGCGATGAAGAATGCCGGGACACAGGTGACGAGCTTGATTGGGACGAGGGAGAACAATGTGGGCACGCTCTGATGATGACGAATATGACCAGGGCCCCCGTGCCACTACCTACCAAACGGACAAAAGAGGATGAATCTTCCACTATAACATGGGATGATGCATTGCAGTTGTAGCACAACAATCTGACTGTCGTTCCATACCGTGTTGCTAGTTCTCTGAGGTAGGCATCTCTCTCTCTCTCTCTCTCTCTCTCTCTCTCTCTCTCTCTCTCTCTCTCTCTCTCTCT